ATCAAAAATATTGGCCTGTAGTTCTCTTTTTTAGTGGTGCCTTTATCTGGTTTTGGTATCAAGGTAGTGCTGGCCTCATAGAATGAATTTGGAAGTTTTCCTTCCTTTTCTATGTTTCGGAATAGTTTGAGAAGAATAGGTTAAATCTTCTTTAAATATTTGGTAGAATTCACTGTGAAGCCATCTCTTCCTGGACTTTGTTGGGAATTTTTGGATTTCTGATTCAATTTCTATGCTGGTTATTGATCTGTTCAAATTTTCTATTTCTTCCTGTTTCAGTTTTCATAGTTTATATGTTTCTAGGAATTTATCCATTTTCTAGGTTGTCCAATTTTTTGGCATTTAGTTTTCATAATATTCTCTTATAATTATTTTTATTTCTATAGTGGTTGTTATTCCTCCTCTCTCCCTTGTGATTTTATTTGTTTGAGTCCTTTCCCTTTTTTTCTTGACAAGTTCGGTTAGAGTTTTATCGATTTCATTGATTTTTTTTTTTTCAAAGAATCAGGCCAAGGTTTCATTGACGTGTTCTTTTGATATTTAGTTTCTACATCATTTATTCTGCTCTAATCTCTATTATTCCCTTCCTTCTGCTGGTTTAAGATTTTGTTTGTTGTTCTGTTTTTAGCTCCTTCCAGTGTAAGAATGTTTATTTGAGATTCTTTTTCCTTCTTGAGGTAGGTCTATATTGCTATGAACTTCCCTCTTATAACTGCTTCTGCTATATCCCAAAGGTTTTAGAATGTTGCATTTTCATTTTCATTTGTTTCCATGTACCTTTTTATTTCCTTCTTTAATTTCCTGGTTGGCCCACTCATTGTTTAGTAGCATGTCATTTAACCTCCATGTTTTTGTGAATTTTCCATACTTGTTCCTGTGATTGACTTCTAATTTCATAGTGTTGTGGTCAGAAACTAGGCATGATATGAGTTTGATTTTCTTGAATTTGTTGAGGCTTGTTTTGTGGCCTAATATGTTATCTATTCTCGAGAATATTCTGAGAGGATTTAAAAAGAATGTGTGTTCTGCTTTTTTAGGATGGAATGTTCTGAATATCTCTGGTAAATCCATCTAGTACAGTGTATCATTCAAAGCCATTGTTTCCTTGTTGGTTTTCTGTTTAGATGATCTATTGATGTAAGTGGGGTGTTAAAGTCCCCTACTATTATTGTATTATCATAGATTAGTTGCTTATGTTTGTTATTAACTGTTTTATGTATTTGGGTGCTTTTTGTTCAATGCATAAATATTTACACTTGTTATACCTTTTTGTTGGATTCTCCCCTTCATTATTATATGTCCCCTTCTTTGTCTCTTTTTACAGTCTTTTTTTTTTAAGTATTGTTTTGTCCAATATAAGTATTAGCTATCCTGGTTTTCTTTTGACACCTATTTGCATGATAAATGTTTCTTCATCCCTTCACTTTCAATCTGGTGTTTTTAGGTCTAAAAAGAATCTCTTGCAGGCAGCATACAGACAGGTCTGGTTTTTTTATCCATTCTGTCACCCTATGCCTTTCGATTGGAGTGCATAATCAATTTACATTTAATTTTTTTTTATTTTTTTTTATTTTTTTTCCCTTTTTTTTTTTATTTATATATGAAATTTATTGTCAAATTGGTTTCCATACAACACCCAGTGCTCATCCCAAAAGGTGCCCTCCTCAATACCCATCACCCACCCTCTCCTCCCTCCCACCC